TACTATGATGTATGTGCAGGTGCATGCTGGGTGTACTATTGAGTGTACATGTGCACGTATACTATGTTGCATATACTCTGACACGTATGACACGTGCATATATACTATGTGTATGCATGCACGTGCCATGTATGCTATGTGTATACCATGATGCATTTGCTTCCATGTGCTGCATATACTGTGACACGTGTATTATGACGTGTATGTATGCATGTATACTATGATGCATATGCATGCACATTCCACATATACTATAATGTGTATGTATGCAAGTATACTATGATGTATATATTATGACATGTATGTGTGTATGTATAGTATGATGTGTATGTGTGCATGTGCGTTTCTGTAAGATACACTCTTAGATGTGAAGAATGTTTTCAGAGACTGCAAATTGCTCTCCATAGACACCAATTCACCCACTAAACACATGAAAACCCCTTCCCAGCACTTACCACTGAGGAGTCTTAATCTTCTCAATGATTTTAATGATTTTTTTGCTGGCCAGGCATAGTAGCTCCCAGCTGTGATCCCAGCACTCTGGGAGGCTGAGGCAGGTGTTTTTCCTGAGCTCAGGAGTTTGAGACCAGCCTGAGCAGAGTGAGACTCTGTCTCTACTGAAAATAGAAAAACTAGCAGGGCACTGTGGCAGGCACATGTACTCCCAGCTACTTGGGAGGCTGAGGCAAGAGAATCACTTAAGCTTAAGAGTTTGAGGTTGCAGTGAGCTGTGGCACTACGGCACTATACCAAGGGCAACTGAGGCTTTGTTTCAAAAAAAAAAAAAAGTGCTTTTTGCCAAAATGTGCTTTCATAAGATCTCTCCACTTAGCCTGGCTCACCTGCCTGTGTTGCTTACTCCTCCATCCAACCAGCTGTCCGGCCATCTGTCCACCCACTGAATGTGTACCAAGAACACACTGAGGGCTGTCTCAGTGGAGGGGGCATCAGAGGTAGCAGAACCTCACATGGGCCTTGTGCATCCCCCTACCCCTTGCATAGCTAAGCTGTGGCCAGGATCAAGTCCATACCAAGGGAAATTTTATCTTCCTGGGGACACTAAAAGAGGCTAATTGGCCCCTACACAAAAGGTGGGCCTTCTCCATCACCCCAGGGCTATAGCCACCTGGACAGCATCATTTGGAAACAGGCCTGCTGTGGGTCAGCATCCTGTCCTTGTCACTCTCACCATCAGTTTTGCTGTCTCCATTCCTCCTCTGAGGAAATAGCTGGTAGAGATGAGGGCAACAGTGAGCACTGACTCCTGCCTGTCCACTGCACATAGCATGGAGAGCTGGAGGGACCCCAGCCATGCCCACTACTACACAGCACAGCTGAGGCCTCTGTGGTGGGCAGACTGATCCCTGTCAGTGCCCCACCGCTGGTGCTCTCCCCTACTGACCCTGTTCTCCATCCAGCAAGGCCAGTGATGGGAAGGTCGCCCCCAGATGCATGTGGCAGACTCCAAGGGTGCCTCTCTCCACCATTCCATTTGTCCACCAGGGGCCAGAGAGGCTCAGCATCCTCAGGCTCCTTAGCCCCATGAGACCCACCCAACTCTCCTGCCCTGCCAGGTCTGCCGTGGCCCCTGGAGCTGGTGGAAGTGGTGGTGGCCATCATGAGGCAGCATGAGCGGATTGCTGACGTGCAGCTGTGTGCCTGCTCCCTGCTGCTGCGCTGCCTGAGCCAAGGTGGGTGCCAGGTCAAATGGGTGGACATTCCCAGTGCCCGTGTCTCCCCACACCAGTTAATTGGGTGGTGTCTGACCCTCAGACAGCGCCCTGCTATGCCCACCCAACCCCTTCCAGCGAAGCAGAGAGGGCACAGGACAGAAGCCTGAGACAGAGGCTTCATTCCAAGCCTGCTTTTGGCCTCTCTGGGCCTGGACAAGTTTCCTGTCACTCTGTGTCCCAGCTATGAAATGAGCTGGACACAATGGGGTCCTCCATTGTGACCCTCAAGTTTGGTTTGTACCCCAGATGAGAAAGACGAGCTGATAGCCCAAGGACCTGGGCTCCAATACATCTTGGGGGCATTTAAAAAAAAAAAAAAAAGGTTGAATTTTGATTTTTATGCCAAATGAAATCATTGCCTTTCTAGTTTCAACCCTGAAGTTTTGATTTTCACTCATGTTCACACCTGGCAGCCCTGCCTTTTCCCTCAGGCCACAGCATCTGTGGGGTCCTGCTCTGGGCCAGGAGGCAGACCTGGGTTTCCTAAGTGCTGTCCCCCAGCAGGGGAGGGGGCTTGTGTGCCTTGTCTTTCCCCTCAGGCTAAGGGCCATCTTCTTCCTCCCCCTGAGCAGGGCTGCTGCGGGACCCAGAAGCTGAGGTGCCATGTGACAGTGCTGTCCTCTCCACCCTCCTGAGCACCCTGAAGAGCCACCCCAAACTGGAGCAGCTCACTGCCTCTATCTACAGCCTGCTGACCATCACCACCAGCCAGGGTGCGCCTGCAGCTACTACCTTCCCCCAGCAACAACCCGGGAATGGGGCTTGGGTTGGTGTGGGTACAGGTTGGCTGGACATGGTGGTGTGGGGCCTACTCCTGAGGCCATACAATTGCCAAGGCTGGTCGTTCCTTCCCCATCTTTTAGAGACAAGTCTCACTCTGTCGCCCTAGGTAGAGTACTGTGGTGTCATAGCTCACAGCAACCTCCAGCTCTTGGGCTTAGGCGATTCTCTTGCCTCAGCCTCCTGAATAGCCGGGACCCCAGGCGCCCGTCACAATGCCCAGCTATTTTTTTTGTTGCAATTTGGTTGGGGCTGGATTCAAACCCACCACCCTCAGTATATGGGGCCAGCACTCTACTCACTGAGCCACAGGCACTGCCAATTCCTTCCCCATCTTCTTTTTTTTTTTGCAGTTTTTGGTCGGGGCCAGGTTTGAACCCACCACCTCCAGCATATGGGCCTGGCGCCCTACTCCTTTGAGCCACAGGCACCACCCCCTTCCCCATCTTCATGACAAGCTTTTACTCCTGCAGCCAGTGGCTCCCAGCTGTGCCAGGCATGGCCTGGGACTTAACACCACTGTCTACTGCATCACCCCTTCTGGGAGGCTGAGGGCCAGTGACCCCATCCACCCCCACCCCTCCATTCCCTATAGCACACAAGGGCCGTGGGGAGGAGAGGGTCACACAAAGAGCACACAGGACCAGGCTGTGGGCTCCATGCCCCTCATCCACTTCGTGGGTAGTAGGCATTGTTCTCCCCAACAGGGGAAATTGGTCCCACAGATGGCAAGAGTCAGGGCTGCTGAGCCCCACCACTCTGTCCTTGCCACAGACTGTACAATACATTACACATCACTGGGTTCATTTGGGGGAGCAAAGGGTGGCACTGGGATTAGGCATAAGGTAGAGCCACTGGGCAGACTGCACACTGGCCATCCCACTGGAATAGGACCCAACCATGGTCCCATCTTGGAAGGCACAGGCCTGCTCCTTACGGCCTAGCAGGGGTAGCCACAGAGGCTAGACCTAGCCTTGTAATAGTGGCCCAGGAGCTGGATGGCTCCCTGAGGGCCAGGCCCATATCTCCTCATTTTCTAGTTCCACAAGTACAGGAGACCTGGCCCAGACCAGGTACTCAGGTCAAATGGGACTGCAGTGTCCAAGGACCAAAGATGGGGGAGCTGCTCTGGGAAGGCTTCCTGGAAGGGGACCCTCTGTTGTCCTCATTCCTGGTGTGCCCACAGCATCGGCCTTGGAGGAGCTGCAGAAGGCTGGGCTGTTCGAGCACATCCTAGAGCACCTGGACAGCTCTCGCAAGAACAGGGATATGTGCATCAATGGCCTGGGCCTGCTCTGGTCCCTCTTGGTGGATGGTGAGGGGCCTTCTGCCCGCTGACCTGATAGGGCTGACACCCCTCCCTCAGCTGCTCCCCCAACTGCTTCTGGCAGCCTTTGAAGGCCTCATGCCAATCCCCTGAACACTTGAGGATAGCTATAGCCTAAAAGAGGCTCTTCTAGGAGCTGGAAGCTGAAGCAGGGGATACCAAAGGGGGAAGAAAGGGAGGAAGAGTCACTTCAGGGCTGTCCGATGGGCAGACCCCTCTCAGATCCAGAACCTTCTGACCAGGATAATGTCCCAGGATTCCTTGGGCAGTCCTGGCTCCAGGTCAGCCTTGTTGTCCAGTGGTCTGTTCTGATTTTTGATTAACAATCAGGCCCCTGGCCTGTGCTGCCTCTCGTCATGGCTCTGAAGTGCCCAAGGGAAAGTGGGCTGCTAACCACAAAGCCTAGGAAACCCAAGACTTCCCAAACCTCTCCCAGGGGGGAATCCCTCTCCAGAAATTGGTGGTGTCAGGCCTCCTGCCCTTCCTCCTCTGAGGACATCTGACCGCTCCCCACCCCAGTGTCTGCTGTTGTCCTTGGCGGGAGGCAGCAGATGAGATATCTGCTCACATGCTTGTCCTGGCCCCAGCTGTCATTGTGGACAAGGACCCCCTGGAGAAGGCCCCGGCCCTCATCATCCAGGTGTTGGGCTCCTACCCCACGGATACAGAGATGGCTGAAGCCGGCTGCGCAGTGCTCTGGCTGCTCTCCTTGCTGGGTGAGCACTGAGGCCTTAGGAGCTGGGAGGAGTGGGCCGTGGACTCACCAGCAATGAGGCCCACCTGACCCGCTCGGCCCTGCAGGCTGCATAGGAGAGAGCCAGTTCGAGCAGGTGGCAGCAGTGTTCCTGCGAAGCATCCACCTATGCCAAGACAGAGTCCTGCTGGTGAACAACGCCTACCGGGGCCTGGCCAACCTGGCCAAAGTGTCAGGTGAGCCTGGGCTAGGAAGGGGCTGCCACCAGGGAGTGGAGGCAAAACCCAGCCCCTACCCTTGTCTATCTGCTGCCATAAACCAAAAAAAACAAAGTAAAAACCAGAAAGGAAAAGACATTAGAAATGATCTATAGTCCTACCATTCAGAAATAGCTATTGAGACTCCCACATGGATTTGAAGAACTTTGCTACTCAGGGCTATCATATGACTACCTCTCTGTCCTGAACACATGAGGCCTGCCTAATAATCCTTCATAGAGCACACCTGAAGCCTGGGACTGGCCAAGGTCCCCAGCTGGCTTATAGTGGGGGACTGATCCCACTCAGGTCATGGGCTCACCTTTTGTTCCATGCAGCCCTCCTCAGAACAGTGGCAACCACTGGGCTCCCTGTCTGGTCCTATCTCCTTTTATCCCACTCCTATTTGCTTAGCACCCCATGAGGTCCCATCCCAACTCTGTTCCAGGTTGGGGGGCCCAACCAGGCCTCTATCTGCTACTCAGCCATGGGATGGGCCTGGTGAAGGGAGTGGAGTGACCTTTCTTCCTGGGGAAAGTTCTTCCCTTTGACTCTCAGCTGCCACTTCCAGAGTTGGTGGCCTTCCAGGTGGTGGTGCAGGAGGATACCGGAGGCCTTGGCCTCATCAAGGAAACCTACCAGCTCTACAAGGATGACCCAGAGGTGGTAGAGAATGTTTGCATGCTGCTGGCTCACCTGGCTTCCTACAGTGAGAACCCCTTTCTGACCCCTTTCCCCTGCCATGGGAGCCAATGGTCAGAGGTGCCCTAGTCACAGCTCTGACAGGGAAAGTGGAAGGAGCCTGCAGAGCAGATTCGCCCCCCCACTCTGCAACCCTCTGGAATTTCCCTTCACCCAGCATCTTCTGCTGCCCACTGTGCACCAGGTGCCATACTGGCTAAGAGTGATGCAAAGGGCCCGGGAATCACAGGCACACCTGGGTGGGACCCTGCCTCATAGCCTCTGCTCCACCACAGAGGAGATCTTGCCAGAGCTGGTGTCCCAAGGAGTCCAGACCTTGGCCCAGGAGGTCCAGGAGCGCTTCACCTCCAGCCTGGTAAGTGGCAGCAGGAATTCCTGCTAACCCAGACTTTTCTGTGGAATGGCCTGATTGCCACATGTATAGTAGTAACTATTTTCCTATTATGTTATTCCTATGACTGGGCTAAAAATCAACCCAAAGGGGAGGGATAACCATACCCTCTCAAAGAAAGTTTCCTGTCCACCATCAGTGGATTAAAACACCCAAATAACTGCTTTGGACCCTGAACTGCCTATGAAAACTGGCTGCTTGCTTCCTCCTCCTAGGAGCTGGTTTCTTACGTGGAAAAAGTGCTCCTGAGGCTGGAGGTGGCCACACCCTCCACTGATGCTGGGCAGGAGGCAGGCCTCCCACCATAATAAGTACACTCTCCCCCTGCCCTAAGTGCCCATCCTTCCTTTCCCTGCCTAGGGAGGGAGGCAATGTTGCCCTGGGGGTTGGTGGGGTGTGGCAGAAGGAAGATGGTCACCAGGACCAGCAGGTTTATCTCTGAGCTGACTAATAAAGAGGCCCAAGACCAGTTCCTGGTGTGCCTTAGTTGTTTCAGTAGTAGGCCATGACTGGCCAGTGGGACACTTACCCCTGTCTATGTAGACCTCCCCCCTGCCTGGCCAGGCAGCCATCTGCACCCATAGTCCTTTCAGACTACTCCAATGAGGACAGTGCTAGGCCTCCACTGCACATTCAAAGTGCATCTGTGGGCTTGGCACCTGTGGCTCAAGTGGCTAAGGTGCCAGCCACATACACCTAAAGTGGCGGGTTCGAATCCCCAGCCCGGGCCTGCCAAACAACAATGACGGCTGCAACCAAAAAATGGCCAGGCATTGTGGCGGGCGCCTGTAGTCCCAGCTACTTGGGAGGCTGAGGCAGGAGACTCGCTTGAGCCCAGGAGTTGGAGGTTGCTGTGAGTGTGATGCCATGGCACTCTACCCAGGGGGATAGCTTGAGGCTCCGTCTCAAAAAAAAAAAAAAGAAAAAAAAACCAAAGTGCATCTGTGTTTATGTTCAACAGCACCCCAGTGGGCTGGCATTGTGTGTATGGCCATTGGGCAGCTTTATGCACTTGTGCTGGACTCCAGGCCCCAGACAGAGCCTCAAACCTGCAAAAAAGGCTGCAAGCTGCCCAGAGGCACTCACTTGGCTCCCAGCTTACAAAGCCCAAGGGCAGCATGTCCACCAACCTCCAGAAATAAAGTCCAAGTGACTGAGGTGCCTCATGTCACATGCTGTGAGAGAAGTTCTTGCTAGTCCTCACCTACCAGCTAATGCTGGGGCCAACTCAGATAAATGGGAGAAGGGAGCCCCAGCCCCAGGAGCCTCTCTGACAGTCCAAATGGCCATAGGAAATTATCCAGTGAGCAGCTGCTGTACCAGCCAGCTGCTCCTCAGGAGCAGACACTAGCCTGCGTCCTTCAGGTCCAGCAAACGCTGGCTTTGTCTCAGATCACCCAAGACGAGGGAGGAAAAAGGGCCTCCTTCAAGGAAGGTGCTGAGCACCCACGATGCTTTCTGCCTTTGGACCCAGGGTGAGTCCCACCAGAGTCCATCAGAGTCCAGCACCAAGCAGGCCGACAGCCCACACGTCCCATTCTACTCGGGTACTCAGCAGATGGTGGGGTTGCCGGGCTGCTTCCAACTTTCTTCCCTGCTACATCCCTGCCATCCTGCTCCCCAATACACATGGCAAGAAGGCCTCTTAGACCACAAGTCAACAGGAAGAAGTTCTCAGTAGCATGCATGCCATGCCCTGCCACAGCTGCTGCTTTGGGAGAGACGTGATGCACTCGTGCCTTGGTCAGGTGGCCTTAGGACCAAGGTGCTACTGCAGGACAGCAGAAGGTGCAGTGGCAGGGCCGAGTCTGTCAGGCAGCATCACTGCGGCTGTCGGGAGCCACCCCTGCAGGGTGTCTACCTCGTGCCAAGCTCTCCCACTCCTTCTTCACCATGGCGTAGAGTCTCATGGCCGTCTGGGCATCCTGAACCTGGGTGACACAGAGCAACTAAACCAGCAGGTGCCAACATGACCATGGGCCACCCAGAACCAGCCCCCATCACTGAGCCCTTCATGCCAGCCACTGAGCCAGACACCTGCAGGAGAGTGAGGGCGATAGGAAGCAGCAGGTGAGAAGCCCTGGCGGTCAGCACACCTCCATGACGCAGACCTCCTGTCTGCAGGAGAAGAAGCAGAAACCCAAAGAAGCCATGTAACAAATGTGTCACCTTTCTGAGTTCATCAGGTGGGGTTGGGGGTGGCAGGCTCAGACGGGGAGCAAAGGCCAGGCACATAGGCAAAAAAGGCCCAGAGCACTAAGACAGCACTGCTGAGGCTGACTCTGTCTGGCAGAAGCAGGGCTACCAGGGGCAAGAGTGGTGATGGTTATGAGGGGCCACCCAGTCTTAGTGGGCCTTCAATTTAGACTGGCAACTTTTTCTCTACTTACAACGTAACAGTTTGTGTTCAGTGTTAAATGTAAATATTTAGACTTGAATCAACATTTTCTATGCATGAACTGCTATTTCTGTTTTTTTTTTCATCAAAAGTCTTCCTAAAAAAGAAGGTGCTCAGGCATCACCTGTGTCGTCATCAGGTAACTCAAGCCTGGGTTTCCAGGTCAGGGATTGCCCCAATTCCCAAGGGTGTACTTACTGAACAATGCTCTGCCTGCTGGACCCTGATCCCCAGGATTTTCTCTGAAAGCAGCTTCAGGGATGGCCTTCCGCTCTGCCAAGGAAGAAGACAGCACACAGTGAGCTGGGTCAGGAGGCTCTGCAGACTTCCCAGGATCCACGCCACCAGCAGAGAGGAGATGGCAGCCGAGCCCCAACTCCTGAATCAGCCAACGGAGGAGGAAGACACCTGTCTTCCACCCTCAGGCCCCCTCTTACTGCAAGAGGGACAGCTGTCCCCTCAGCGACCTCTGGAGCAGAAACAACGGGGGCATCACGCTCTATTCAGTGAGCTGTCATAGTTGGAGTATAGAGGACTTGTCCTCCATCATACTCATTTACCTGAACTCTACTTTTATAATACCTTCCAGCTTTAAAGTTACAAAGAAAAACAAAAACAAAACAAAAACCTTTTAATCAACAAGTCAGCTACCAGGAGCCAGAGTCAACAGTGAGGTGAACCAGCAAAACAGAAGCCTGATGTGTGGAATCACATTCATTTTAAGTACCTGCACTTGACTTTTAAAAGGTTTATATTTCTGTGTGTCCCGAATCTTCTTTTTCGGATGATCCAGAAACAGCACCTAGAAGAAGATATAACAAAATCATTTTCATTTTTAGTTTGTATCTGGTGGACAGGATATTGAGGTAGCAGGATCACTTGAGCTCAGGAGTTCAAGGCCAGCCTGGGTGATAGAGTGAGACCCCATCTCTGGAAAAAACGGTTTGGCATGGTGCTCACACCTGTAATGCTGTGCTCTATATAGCCACCCTCCATGTATATACACTACTGGTTGCACACATGCTCCTTCACACTCTCTGGCATGCTCACACGCTCTCTGCCTGACTTCGTTCTGGCCTCCTGTGACCGGGTGGAGCACTACCCCCTGACTCATGGTACCCTCTGCCCAGGATGTTGGAGGTGTACTGAATTGATGCCTCCCATCAGGGTCACTGGGCAGGCTTCCAATGCCACAGCCAGGGACAGCAGTTGCAGGCTGACCAGCAGAGAGCACTCTCCAGTGTAGGTTTCCTGAGGGAGGGGGCCTGGTTAAGGTGGGACAGTTAGGTATTAGGCTGTCCACCGGGTCAAAAAAATGTCCTATGGGCTCAGCACCCATAGCACAGTGCTTACGGCACCAGCCACATACACCCAGGCTGGAGGGTTCGAACCCAGCCCAGGCCAGCTAAACAACAATGACAACTACAACAAAAAAATAGCCAGATGCTGTGGTGGGCACCTGTAGTCCCAGCTACTTGGGAGGCTGAGGTAAGAGAATCACTTAAGCCCAAGAGTTTGAAGTTGCTGTGAGCTGTGATGCCATAGCACTCTAAGGAGGGCAACACTGTGAGGCTATCTCAAAAAAAAAAAAAAAGTATCCTATGAAAGACACAATGTAACTTCACATCTGGGAAGACAAAGCTGCAGCCTCTCTGCTACTGGGACCCTGGTCTATGGCTTAGAACAAGTGTTTGGCACTGCACCTACAACACGGTAAGAACCAATGAACAGTATCTGGTGTCATTACTGGAGTGGTCCCTACACAGGACACACATTAAAAAAATTTTTTGACTCCCTGACTCCCATGATAACACTTCTGCTTTCAGAAAGTTGAGGGTGATAGTGTAACACGTAGGAGAGCCATCGCCCAGGTCCCGTGAGGCCCAGCACCTTGAGGTCATTATGCAGTGCATGTCCAACCAAAATCCTGCCCTTCAGCATTTCTGCCACTTCTTTCTGAACAACTTCAATTTCTTCCCCTAAAAAATCAAAACAAAGCAGCATTTTTCAGCAACATATAATTCATCGTCATTCTCCAAGGGGGAGGCCCCTCTCACCCCTGGTCATACCTAACACAACAGGCTGCAAAGCCACAAGGGGGGTGCCTGGAGCCACCACACCCACTAGGGAGAAGTGCCTCACAGACCTTAGCGGGGCAGCTGTGAGGGCCACTCTGGGGTGAGGATGTGTCTGCACACAGCCCAAGGCCTGCACAGGTGGAGTAAGCACTGGAACCACCGGGTAGAGCTATCTGATCTCGGTTTCCTAATGATAAACCACGGCCTGTGCATCATGTATTCCAAGTGGAAATGCAAATAAGACTGGCCCCCAGGGAGACATGCCCTACACCCATGCGCTCTGACTGCTTTCTGGGACCTTTTGGGATACCCTCTGGAGATTCAGAGACTGCCAGACCTCCCACTGTGTGAAACCCCTCCCTTTCCATCTCTTATACCCATAGGGAGGGGCTTCAGTGACCACATTCACACCATGTGACTCTGCCTGCTCCTGGCCAGAGCTGACCAGACCAAGGGTGGCCTGATCTGAGCAGGACCAGCCTCCCTCCCAAGAATGGAACCAGGGCAGGGCTGCCCTGGTGGCTGTGCATACCAGATAAAGCAGAGAAGGGCAGTGTGAGAGAGCACAGACAGATGCGGGGAGACCACCTGGCCTCGGGGCCTTCCTGGATGCCCTCGCCTCTTAACCCATACCCTCAGCCTTCAGCTGTATGACTAGGTCACTTCTTAAGGCCACCTCCCTGACCCAGGTTCCTGTTAACAAGCTGTCCTATTTCCACCCTCATGGCCCTACGGTTTTTTCTCAATGCTGTAGCCAGAGGGAACCTGCTAGAACTTAAGCCAAACCAGGACTCTCAGTGCTCACAATCTTGCCTCCCTAGCGACTCCCAGGGTCTATGGGATCCTATGATCTGCACCACCCCCCTTCCACAACTGTCCTCCTCATGACCCAATCCTCAGCCCAGAGGCCTCCTTCTGGTCCTCTAACACCCCACTGTGGCCCTACACTGCGCAGTACAAAGCCATTCAGGAACAGGTCCTGGTCCTAAAGCCTCCGAGGGTGCCTTTTGTGTGTCACAACCCATCACCCAGGGGAGATGAGATGTGTCAGGAATATTGAAACACTGATGTGATGAATGTTCCTGAACAGAAAAGGAAACAGAGAAGGTAGATCCAGTCACTACTTCCCCTTCTGCGTTTAGGACATACCCTGTCGGAGGTTCTCGGGCAGTATCCCGCTGACTGCTGTCCTATAGTCTGTCACAGGCTCAGTCGGCTTGATGTACTTGTCATAGACACATTTGCCATACTGGTTCACGATGGACACACGGGCAGCGATGCTCTCCTCCCCCTTGGGGCCCACGCCCACCATTTCACAGTCCATGGCTAAGGCCTTGGTCAGGCTGAAGGGAAATCAAAGGTTCCAGCTTAACAAACACTGCAGGATCTAGGTCACACCTGAAGGATGACCACAGACTAAGTGTTGCACAGAAAAAGCTCAGTGCCTATCACTACCATGTGACAAGTGGTATGTCATAGTTCTTAGCAGGATCCTAGGAGGTACTGCCCACTCAATTAGAAAGGGAAACATCCTCTTTCCTGCAGAATCCCCTCTAAGGCTGAGTGAATGCCCAAGTTCAGCATACCCGCCAAAGGCCTGCTCCTTCACAAGCGTGACACTGCTTTTGCTCTGACCCAGCTGCCTTCTTGCTATCTTGGCTGCCTCTGGGCCTAGGGCAGCTTCGATATCCACTGGGTCCACATCGTCAAACCAGATGTCTTCCCTAAAAGACAAAAACAAGATCAGGCTGACCACCAGAAGGCTCTGGTCCAGCCACTGGAGCAGCACCCTATGGTGCCAACAGTTGGCAGACACAGGTGGCTGGAGGGGATGAACGGAATCTGCTCCTCTCACAGTTGGGCTCCAGATGCCCAGCTGCTGGTGTCATTTTGATCATCTCAGAGCTTTCTTTTCATTGTTTTTCTTTTTATTTAGAAAATATGCTCATTATTTAAGATTTAGGAACTATAAACATAAAGAACATAAAATAGAAATATGTAACATACCACCCAGATGTACTAATTGCTAACGTTTCCTTTTTAATTATAAAAGTAATAGGTTCATTTTCAAACAATCAAAAAATACAGATAAACATGATGACTATAAATGGAAACACAGAACTCCACCAAGGTACACGACCACTACCATCTTGGTCTCACCCTCTGCATTTGGAAGCCCACACAGGTATAAACACCTGTCTACCCAATTTTGTCTCTTGGGCTCAGCTTAAATGTTATTTCCCCGAAATGCTCTTTCCAGTCCCCCCAAGAGGACATGTTTCTCTTGCCAAGTGCTCCCTTGACCTTCCCCCTCATGAACTTATCCCGAGGAGCACGACTGCCTTGCTGAATGCTCTTCCCAACAGCCAGCCTAGGAGGCGGCACTCACCTGTCCTCTTGACACTTCAGCAATTGTGTCCTGAATACCTGGGTGACACGAAGCCAGCCTCTGACTTACAAGTATATTACCTCCAGCCAACTCATTCAGAGACAGCCACTGGTCCCTGGTCCTCCTCATGGGGATGACCACCACAGTGTTTGTTAACTGATCACCTGGCACTGAGTGAGCTACATCTCACCAACATCTTAGAGACACTACAGATGATGACACTGAGGTGCAGAGGATGTCAAGAACTTGCCTCAAACCCCCCAACTGGCAAGAAGCAGGGACGGGTCTCACATTCCAGCCTTCTTGGGTTCAGAGTCTTTCATTCCAAAAATTGTCACTGGTTGCACCTAAAAGCCAAGCTCTGTGCTAAGCTTAGAAACTGTAGCAGTGACCATGAGACAAGCCCTGCTTTCAGTGTGCTCATGCTCAGAGAGAAAGCAAACAGCAAGTAAACAAAGACACAGATGGCATCAGGGTGAGAGCATGGAGAAAGTACAGTGGGGCTATCCTGTCACCTGGTCTCTGCAGGGAGACAGGTCTAAGCCAATAAAGCCTCTATGCCTTTATTGTCAGTGGTAAGGAAGACTGAGGCTAGGGTGGCAGGAGCCATGCCAGTGACCACAGCTGAGACTCAGATGCTGGCAACGCTGACACTTACTCAGTGGGTGGGGTGGGGGCTGAGGCTGCTGCCTCCTTAGCTTTCCGCTTCTTATGCTTGATACCCCCTCGTTTTGTAGCGATGTCATTATCTGCCCTTTTCTTGGCTCCCTTCATATCATGTGCTGCTCCACTGGCCTTCACAGCAGGTGCTGGCATCTTCCTGTCTATCTTGGACCCTGTAGGAACAGAGCCTGTGGTAGCCTCTTGGTCTTCTGTCGCCACGTCATCTGAGGTTTCTTTTCTGTTTTGCTGGATAATCTCAGACTGCTTTTGGGAAACCATCTGAGAGATAACAAGAGGCTTCTCTGGAGCCTGTGATTTTTGTTTCAGCAGCTATTAGGACCAAAAATAAAAGACATGCTACATTTTAATTTGGAAATTATACACAACAGGATGAAAAACCTGTATGAGGTATACAAACACACACACATCAGTCACATCCACAGGCCCTTCCTATAGCATCACTGAAATTCGTTTTTTGTTGTGTTGTTTTTTTTTTTTTTTTTAAACAGTCTTACCTTGTCACTCTTGGTAGAGTGCCCTGGTGTCACAGCTCACAGTAACCTCAAACTCTTGGGCTCAAGTGATTCTCTTGCCTCAGCCTCACAAGTAGCTGGGTCTACAGGCACCCGCTACAGTGCCCAGCTATTTTTAGAGATAGGGTCTCACTCTTGCTCAGGCTAGCGTCAGATTCCTGAACTCAGGCAATCCACCCACCTCAGCCTCCAAGTGTGCTGGGAATCCAGGGATAAGCCACCATGCCCAGCTGAAATTTGTTTCTAAATGGTTTGGAAAAATCTATTTTTCATTCTCACCCACAAGTCACTTGTGGGAAAATGCTATTTCTTTGCTTAGTACATAATTTTACACCTGTTCTTTCATTCCTACACAATTTCAAACTTATATTCTATACTTCACATACCTATCTGAGTGACTACACATCACAGACTGCTTCACTGAGAGGATGATAAGCAACCTTTTTTTAACTTTTGTTTGTTTGTTTGTTTTTTTGAGACTGTCACCCTGGGTAGAATGCCATAGTGTCACAGCTCACAGCAACTTCAAACTCTTGGGCTTAAGCAATTCTCTTGCCTCAGCATCCCAAGTAGCTGGGACTATAGACATCTGCTACAATGCCCGGCTATTTTGTTGTTGTTGCAGTCATCACTGTTTGTGTTTTTAGCTGGCCCAGGCCGGGTTTGAACCCACCAGCCTCAGTGTATGTGGTTGGTGCCCTACCCACTGAGCTACAGGTGAATCCTTTTTTTAAAGACAGAGTCTCACTCTATTGCCTGGCTAGAGTACAGTAGCTTCACCATGGCTCACTGAAACCTCAAACTCCTGGGCTCCAGTGATCCTCCTGGCTCAGCCTCCCAAGTAGTTGGACTATAGGTACATGCTGCGATGACCAGCTAATTTTTCTGGGTTTTGTAGAGACAAGGTCTTGCTCTTACTAGGCTGGTTTCAAACTCCTGAGCTCAGGCAAGCCTCCCGCCTCAGCATCCCAGAGTGCTAGGATTATAGGTGTGAGTCACTGTGCCTGGCCTTCTTCTTTTTAAGATGCAGGGTCTCGCTTTATCCCCCAGCCTGGAGTGCTGTGGTGTAATCATAGCTCAGTGCAACCCCAAACTCCTGGACTCAAGGGATCCTCCCTCCTCAGCTTCCCAGAGCGTTAAGATTACAGGTGTGAGCCACTGTCCCTGGTGTCTTTTCTCACTTGATTTAGTTTTAGAGTTACTTCTCTCACAGCTTAGACCAACACTCTGGTGTGTGGAAACCATTTCCTTCAGAAGACCTCTTGGTTTGTTATTGGGGTGTGTTCAAGGAATGAAAAGCTCCTTTCAAACTGGAGGTGGCTGAAGAACAGGTGGCAAACACAGCTCACCTCTCACCCAAGGAAAGGCTCTCTGCAGCCTGGATGCTCAACTTCCTCCTGTGCCCACATCCCTAGCTGGGTTCTTCTCAACCTGAGTTAAGACCCTGGTATATAGCAAGTAGCTGAGAGATGACAAGATTTCTCTTACCTGTTCCCATAAAGCTGAAGTTTTCCCTATAGCAAACACCCCTTCCATTTACTTATACTGCTTGTCTATCTTGGGAGGAGGCAGAGATAGTTCTCAAGAAATCATAGAGGCTCGGTGCCTGTGGCTCAAGCGGCTATGGCGCAAGCCACATACACCTAAGGTGGCGGGTTCGAATCCCCAGCCCGGGCCCGCCAAACAACAATGATGGCTGCAACCAAAAAATAGCCAGGCATTGTGGCGAGCGCCTGTAGTCCCAGCTACTTGGGAGGCTGAGGCAGGAGACTCGCTTGAGCCCAGGAGTTGGAGGTTGTCTGTGAGCAAGGGTGGGGCCGCGGCACTCTAGCAGGGGGATAGCTTGAGGCTCTGTCTCAAAAAAAAAAAAAGAAGTCATAGAAATGGCTGGCGCCCGTAGCGTAGCAGTTATGGTTTCGGTCACATACGCCAAGGTTGGCAGGTTTGAACTTGGCCCAGGCCAGCTAAACAACAACGACAAGTACAACAAAAAAACAGCCAGGTGATGTGACGGGCGCCTATAGTCCCAGCTACTTGGGAGGCTGAGGCAAGAGGATCACTTAAGCCTAAGAGTTGGAAATTGCTGTGAGCTGTGACACCACAGCACTCTACCAAGGGTGGCATAGTGAGACTGTTGTCTCAAGAAAAAAAAAAGAGAGAGAAATCACAGAGAACTTGTGGTTGCCTGTGGGAAGCATATGGCCAATGTTTGTCAATATAGGAACATTATTAAGAATGTCCATCTTAAGGTAGCAGGCAGAGTGACAAGAGGCTCATGAATTTCTCTATTGTATATAGCAGCACCTCAGGATACAAAATCAATACCCACAAATCAGAAGCCTTTGTATACGCCAATAATCGTCAAGCCAAGAACAAAATCAAAGACCCTATTCCTTTTACAATAGCACCAAAAAAGATGAAATACCTGGGACTATATCTAACAAAGATGTGAAAGATCTCTATAAAGAGAATTATGAAACTTTCAGAAAAGAAATAGCAGAAGATGTCAACAAATGGAAGAACATACCATGCTCATGGCTGGGAAGAATCAACATTGGTAAAATGTCCATACTACTCAAAGCAATCTACAGATTGAATCCAATCCCCATCAAAGTACCAATGTCATACTTTAAAGATCTTGAAAAAATAGTACTTTGATTCATATTGAACCAGAAAAAAAACCCAAATAGTAAATACAGTTCTTAGAAATAAAAACAATTCTGGAGGCATTACATTGCCAGACTTCAGATTATATTACAAGGCTACTGTGATCAAAACAGCATGGTATTGGCACAAAAATAGAGATGTAGATCTATGGAACAGGATAGAGAACCTAGAGATGAACCCAGCCACATATCATCATTTAATCTTTGCTAAGCCTAACAAAAACATGCAACGGGGAAAAGAATCTTTATTTAACAAATGGTCTTGGGAAAACTGGTTGTCCACATGCAGAAGACTGAAACTGGACCCACACCTCTTACAAGTGACAAAAATTGATTCCTGCTAGATAAAAGATTTAAATTTAAGACATGAAACAATAAAAGTTCTAGAAGAGAGTGTGGGGAAAACACTTGAAGATACTGGCCTGAGAAAAAACTTTATGAGGAATACAACCCCCACCCCAAGCAATTGCAACAACACCAAAAATAACTGGGACTTGATCAAGCTAAAAAGTTTTTGCACAGCTAAAACAGAGCAAATAGCCCTCAGAATGGGAGAAGGTTTTTGCATGTTATGAACCTGACAAAGGCCTGATAACTAGAATCTACAGAGAACTCAAATTAAACAATAAGAAAAGTACAAACAACCCTCCCTATAAGTAGGCAAGGGACTTGAACAGAAACTTCTGTGAGGATGACAGATGAATGGCCAACACATGAAAAAATGCTCATCGTCTTTAAACATCAGAGAAATGCAAATTAAAACCACTCTAGGATATCACCTAACCCCAGCAAGATTAGTCCACATCACAAAGTCCCAAAACATCAGATGCTGGCATGGATATGGAGAGAAGGGAACACTGCTACACTGCTGGGGGGATTGCAAACTAATACAGCCTTTTTGGAGAGAAGTATGGAGAATCCTCAAAGATCTAAAAGTAGATTTTTCCAGCCCTGTGCCCATAGCATAGTGGTTATAGCATCAGCCACATACACCAAGGGTGGCACTTTGGAACCCAGCCCCAGCCAGCTAAACGACAACTGCAACAAAAAATAGTTGGGCATTGTGGTGGGTACTTGTAGTCCCAGCTACCTGGGAGGCTGATGCAAGAAAATTGCTTAAGCCCAAGAGTTTGAGGTTGCTGTGAGCTGTGACGCCATAGTACTCTACTAGGGGTGACAGAGTGAGACTGTCTCAAAAAAAAAAAAAATATATATATATATATATATGTATATATAAAAATAAAAAATAAAAGTAGATTTTCCAGAGTGAGACCCTGTCTCTAAAAATAGCCAGTTATTTAAATAGATGCCTGTAGTCCCAGCTACTTGGAGGCTGAGGCAAGATAATCACTTGAGCCCAAAAGTTTCCGGTTGCTGTCAGCTATGACACCGCAGCACTCTAGCAAGGGTGATAAAGTGAGACTGTTTCAAAAAAAAAAAAAAAAAAAAAAGGAAAGAAAAGAAAAAGTTCTCTATTCTCTCTTAGTCACTCTGAGGCTCCATAACACACTCCAGAACATGAAGGTCAACAGCAGTCAAGAGAACAAACTCATAACTCTGCACTGCACCCCAGTCCTGACATTTCCTAGTGGTGTGACCTGAAGCCAAGTTTCTGAAGTTGTGTGTGCCTCAGTTTCTTCATCTAAAAAACCAGGCTAGTATTAACTAACTCCAAAAGACATAGTAAGAAGGGGTGTGAAGCCCACGGAAGAGTATGTGGCAGAGCTACCTGCACAGAAGCACAGCGCACTCCTGCCTAGAAAGGCAGGTGGCACAGCCAGCATCAAAAGCAGGACTCCAGGGTGAGCCTGCTGGGTTTCCAGCTGCAACCTTAGATGAACTTAATCTTTCCAGGCCTATTCCCACATAGAGGTGATAAAAGTATCTACCTCACATTGATGGGGACTACTTAAGAACCCACATGCAGACCAGAGCGTTGCACATTTTAATAGCTCAAAAACTGGTCCCTGAAATCCCTAGGAGAGTCTGCTTCTGTGTGTTTGTGTCTGAATCACACTGGGTCTCCCTGCCTCACTCCACCTCTGTCTCCGTAGGTATGCGCCTCTCTCTGGGGGCGGGGGGTTATCTTAAGCCTCTTCCCCTCTCTCTTTCCTTCCACTCCTGTTAACCTGGGAGGAAAAAAAAACTAGAGTGGTTGTCAGGACTGGTCCTCATGCCAGTGATCCCAGCACTCTGGGAGGCTGAGGCTCGTGCATTGCTTGAGCTCAGAAATTGGAGACCAGCTTGAGCAACAGCCAGACACCGTCTCTACCAAGAATAGAAAAAATTAGCGGGACATTGAATTCAGGAGTTGGAGACCCTGTCTCTACAAAAAAGTAGAAAAATTACCTGAGAGTAGTGAAATGCACCTGTAGTACCTGCTACTGGGGAGACTGAGGCCGGAGGATCACTTGAGCCCAGGAGCTAGAGGTTTGCTGTGAGCAAGGGTGGGGCCGCGGCACTCTAGCCTGAGCGACAGACTGAGACCCTATCTCAAAAACTATATAACTGGGGCGGTTCTCATCAATGAACAATAATTGCCAGAATCGTCTGCATCGCGTCTGCGGTGGGCTTGGCCCCCCTCAGCTGACCACTTGCGAGGTCCTCTCTGGGGCCAAGCCGTTCCCGTCCTGGCATCGCCCAGTGACCCACCAAAGGCCTCGGGAAATGTGAGGCAGGAGGCGCGGCGGTCCCAGGTCTCACCTCTAGCAGCGCCTTCCAGTTTCGAGAAAAATCTTCTGGTGCCTTGGGCGGCCGCACCACAACACTGTCGGCGCTTGGCGGCCTCCTGTGTAATCCGTTCGCTCTGTTTTTCCAGAACCGTTTTTGCTTGTTTTTCTTCCGAGTGAGCTTCCTGACAAGCCCGGAATCAGCCGCGGGGCTGCTCGGGGAGCGCGCGGGGACCTTCCCCCTCACCATCCCGGCGCCTGCAGGGGCTCTCGGCCCGGACACTCCCGGGTCCCTTCTCAGCACAAGTCCCCGCGCACGCTGGCCCCGGAAGCGGCCCCCACGCGTCCCGCGCGCCACTACACGCGCATTCCAGGCCCGGAAGTGCTCGTGTCTCCGCGACCGGCTGGAAACTGGAGCCCCGCCTATTGGTTCCATGCGTTCTGCAAGTCCTAATGGGAAGGGAGCCGCCACCCCAGTGAGTATCGTCCACCGTCAGCGCCCGAAGGTCTGGTTGGGCTAAGCCCGGGGTCTCACCGACATCCGGGATGGGGATGAGAAGTGCAGACATCGGAAGCGAGCTGGGAGCAGCTGTCGCTGTCGCTTCTGCGGAGCGCGCGGGTGCCGGTGCTCAGCACGAACGCTTATTCCGTCCAGGGGCTTGCACTTGAAATATGCCCGAGGCTGTGCTTACCCGCTAGTGGGAGCTGCCGGCCAGCAGGCTGCAGCCTTGCATGAGAAATAAAGCTGTCCTGCCCCATTGTGTGCGGGTCATGATTTTTCAGTTTACATGAAGTTTGCAAAATTTATCAGGCCCAGAGAGATGTGAGCAGGAGGTATCAGTAACATCCCTGAGCCCATGCCCCAGGGAAATTAAAGGCACTTAGAATTTTTTTTTCCTTCCCTGTAGTCTCCAGACTACCTGATAAATTTCCTAAAATTGTTACTGATACCGGAATTTCATCTTCAGTAGGTTCTTGGTCTCGGTGATTCGAAGAATGAATGAATCCATGGACCACAGATCAGTGGTAAGACAGGAATTTTTTACAGAAAAGAGTACAAAAACACCAAAGCTCCCAGCAGGGAGAGAAAAGCTCGCGCTCCCTCGCTCTCGCTCTCTCTCGCGCGCGCTCTCTCTCTCTCTCTCTGTCTCCGGACTCTTTGTCTAGGGACTCTTTGTCTATATATAGTCGCATGGGGTCCTCTGTAGTTACATTTAGGGGGACTCGGTATTTAGCGTGTCTGGAACATGTCTGGGTCGTGATTGAATGCCTACAATCCCTTTCATTTCCAGGCCTAGGAAATGGGGGTTCCCTGTTCAGCCGCAAGTGCAAGAGGAGGGAAACCTAAGGTGCTCCCCAGCAGTTGTCTGGCCTCTCCGGCTACTGGAGCCTCCTGCGGGGTGGGGGTGGGGGGCTGCCTACCCTCCAGCCCGCTGGTTCCTTCGCCACCGCACCAACAACGCCAAGGCAGAGGTAGCCGGTCCCCCCTCCCTCCCCGCCTTCAAAGCTCCACCGAACTGGCTGAGTGCCACCTGTCCTGTATCATTACCTCTGTAACCGCCTCAATTTGGTTCATAGTTTTTGTTTTGTTTTGTTTTTGAGACAAGGTCTTGTTTGTTGCCCAGACTAGAGTCCAGTGCTATGATCATAGTGCACTGCAGCTTCAAACTCCTGGGCTCAAGTGATCCTCTCCCTCAGCTTCCCAAAGCCCTGGGATTATGGGCACATACCACCAAGCCAGGCCTGGTTCTTCTTCTTATTATTCTTCTTTTTTTTTTTTTTCTATTTTTAGTAGAGACAGGGACTCGCTTTTTGCTCAGGCTGGTCTTGAACTCGTGAGCTCAAGCTATCTACCCACTTCGGCCTCCCAGAGTGCTAGGATTACAGGTGTAAGCTTTTTTTTGAGACAGAGTCTCAAGCTGTCGCCCTGGGTAGACTGCGGTGGCCTCAGAGCTCACAGCAACCTCAAACTCTGGGGCTTAAGTGATTCTACAGTCCTAAGTAGCTGGGACTGCAGGTGTCCACCACAATGCCTGGATATTTTTTGTTGCAGTTGTCATTGTTGTTTAGCTGGCCCAGGCTGGGTTGGAACCCACCAGCCTCTGTGTATGTGGGCTGGCACCCTACCCAGTGAGCTACCAGTGCCTCCAGGAGGAGTTCATTTTTGTGCAACAAAGTTGTGACTTGTTCTTGGTTGCCTGGGAACCCCCAGGTTAAATGTCACATAACCTGAGCATGCCCAGATGAACTAGGCCTGCAATCATAGGCAAAACCTAGGTGCTGCGACTGAGAAGCTGGACTGAATCAAGAAGCAGACATAGGACCCCAGATCCAATCAGATCATTCCTCATTAACCTCTGACAGTAAAACCTGCCCTAAGCCCCAGCTCAGGAGACAGGTTTGAGCCAGACTTCTGTCTTCTTGCGCAGCTGATTGTCAATAAACCTTTCTCATTGCAAAAACCTGGTTCCTCTGTGTTTGACTTTCCATTGTGCACAAGCAAATGGACCTAATTTGTTTGGTAACACTACAGTTCGAACATGTAACCCTCACCCTTATCTTCGTGTTCCTGGAATTCCTAGATTTGTGTTACAAAGAACAATTATAGCTGATCAATAGTTTATGTTATTTTAATGAACAAATGCAAATTTTAGGAAGTGCTCCCTTCTTTTTTTCCTTTAAAAACTCACTAATAACTGTTATTAATCAGAGCACATATATTCAGGGCATCTTGAATCTGTGAAAGTAAGGCATTCAAGATCTACGCTATTGGAATTTTAAAATATTTTGAGCCTTAAAGGAATGTATGGGGACTGAGTCAGTGACTGGTAGCTGCAACCTGGGCAGCCAGACCCTTTGTTTCTCTGATCGTAGGTTAACCTTCTTTCTTACCTAAATTGTTTTATAAAATGTGACTAAAGGGAGCCAGGGAAGACCACTTTCCTCTTCACTGTTGATCTTCATTGTAAATGGACTTTCTTTTTTTCTCTTTCACACAAAGATGTCATGACTATCATATTGTCGAAGATGGAATATTAAATATGTGACTGTCACGTTTTCTGAAATGGAATGTTAAATACATCTTTTAAATTGGAAAGGAGGTTGGGTGCAGCAGCACATGCCTGTAATCCCAGCACTCTGGGAGGCTGAGGTGGGCAATTGCCTGAGCTCATGGGTTCAAGACCAGCCTGAATCAGAGTGAGACTTTGTCTCCAAAAATAGTCAGATGTTGTAGCAGGCGCCTGTTGTCTCAGCTACTTGGGAAGCTGAGGCAAGACAATTGCTTAAGCCCAAGAGTTTGAGGTTGCTATGAGCTGTGATGCCACGACACTCTACCAAGGGTGAAAAACTGGGCGGCACTTGCGGCTCAAAAGGGTAGGGCGCCAGGCCCATATACCAGAGGTGGCAGGTTCAAACCCAGCCCTGGCCAAAAAAAAATTGGAAAGGAAATGAAAATAAGCTACATGGAAAATAAAACAGATTGTAATTGAACTGTAACTTGTAAACTAGTCTTGTATAGAAAATGTTATAATCTTACTAAATTTCTTTGTCTTTCCTTATATAGCAAAGCCATAATTTTAACTTCAGGGCACTTACACCATTTCTCTGGAGTCCATGTTTCCTGGATGACTACTCCCAGCTTTTTGCTTGAATAAATTCTTTAAAACTGGGTTTTGATCCTTTATGAACCTAATTATTTAAGATCGACAAATCTATGATCTGGGCTGTAGTCCTCCATCTTGGCCCTGTCATCTAAAACACCACCAGCAGAGCTAAATAGCAGTAAGGAGAGCTTTACTGGTGATGTCACCTTACAAACTGGGAAGAGACAGTGTTTGGTATGTATTGAAGGAGCTCTCTCTTCAGAGACAGAGGGACAGGTTGATTTTTATGCTTCACAGGGCCCGTATTACACAAAACATACTCAGCAGGTTTGGGGAAAAAGCTGTACATATTTAAAAAAGGAGTTGAGTGCATGCATAATGAGTAAAAATATACTGAGGGTGGTGGGTTCGAACCGGCGGTCAAACTGCAACAAAAAAAATAGCTGGGCCTTTGGCTAGGTGCCTGTAGCCCCAGCTACTCGGGAGGCTGAGGCAAGAGAATCACCCCGGAGTTGGAGGTTGCTGTGAACTGTGACGCTATGGTATTGTACCGAGGGCAACAAAGTGAGACTGTCTGTAAAAAAAATAAAATGAGTAAACATATATGTAGCAGCTGATGTTCAATTTGGGACAGGGTTTAGCATTAAAATTTGGCTTTTACTTGGGAGGCTGAGGCAAGAGAATCACTTAAACTCAAGAGTTTGAGGTTGCTGTGAGCTGTGACACTGTGGCACTCTACCGAGGGTGACATATCAAGACTCTGTCTCAAAAAAAAAAAAGAAAAGAAAGAAAGAAAATAGAATAAAATTTGGCTTTTAACATCAAAAAATGAGTCACAGAAGTTTGTGTGCGTAGTCTCTATACACTGACTGAAACAGGCTTGAGGATGGCAGTTTCTTATCAGGACAGAATGTTTGAAAGGTTGGTCCTCTGCCCAGTCAGAGGTATAGTGGCCTGGGTTGTAAATTACAGTTAGAAAGGGGCTGGCAAGGCTGGGCCTGGTGGCTCACACCTATAATCTTAGCGCTCTGGGAGGCCAAGGCCAAGAGCAGCCTGAGCAAGAGGGAGACCCCATCTCTACTAAAAATAGAAAAACTAGCCAGACATCGTGGTAGATGCTATAGACCCAGAAGCTACTTGGGAGGATGAGGCAAGAGAATCGCTTAAGCCCCAGAGTTTGAGGTTGCTGTGAGCTGTGACACCATGGCATTCTACTGAGGGTGACATAGTGAGATTCTGCCTCAAAAAGAAAAAAAAAAAGAAGAGGAAAAAGAAAGGAGGTACCAATTGGCCTGATGGCTCCTATTACTAGGGAGTTTATTGAGAGTATGGTTTTTCTGTAGCTGTAGTTTTGTGAGTAGTCATGCCAGCCAAGCCCTAACCAGTGATTTTTAATCCATGTTACCCAGATGAAGAAGGTCGGGCCTCCTGTCACTGTCAACTAATATGTGGAAATGGGGATAGGTCTACTAAACTTTGTTTATCAGAATTCTGGAGAACAGTGAGAGTAATCTTGCTAAGAATACTCTTAGAAAGAGTAGTCATTTTCAAAATTATAGTTTTATATGTTTACATTTAAGGTAAAGACTATATTAACTTTTATTTTAAATAATAATTAGTATATTATTATAACATTTTAATTTAAGGCCAAGTGTGGTGGCTCACACCTGTAATCCTAGCACTCTGGGAGGCCAAGGCGAGT